GCTGGCCACACCACTCCTGAGACAAGCCAGGATGCCACTGGCCCTCTTGGCCACCTGGGCACCCTGCTGGCTCATATTTAGCACCCCCAGGTCTTTTCTTCCATGCAGCTTTCCAGCCACTCTTCCCCAAGCCTAAAATTTTAAAATATTTAAACATTAAATAAAATATTTTAAGCAATAAAAACTCTTCAAGTTTTGCCAAGCGCTGACGGTTTTTCAGTAGAGAAGTTCGTGATCATTGGATAAATAAAAAGCAAATTGCCCTGGACTTGTCTTGCTGCAAGACCAGGCGGTGGCACGGGTGGGTGCCTACAGGGCAGCTGGTCTGGGGGGGGGTTGGTAGAGCCAGAAAGGTTTTGCCAGGGGGAAGAAATCCAGAGGGGCTTTTGCTGAGCAGGTCAAAATAATATCAGCGGGTCCTGAGGGAGAGCGGCTTGCACAAACATCATCAGCGATAAAAGCCCTCGGCCAGCTAACCTGGGCGATACCGCTCCCGAGCATCGGCTGCCACCCATCGGATGGGCTTCGTCAGGAGCGGCGCGACCCACAGCTCTCCTAAGCACCCAGGTGAAAAAGGGGTTGAGGTTTCCAGCTGGTGGCCACGCGTGGGTGGTACGAGAAGCCTCAACCCCGGGCTTCGCTGCTCTCTCTGCTGTCCCGTAGCCCGTAACACGTTTCACGCCATCGGGCGTCCAGCCTGGCTCGCCTGGTTTATCCCTTTCGCTGTTTGTAGACTTCATACCGCAAAAAAAAAAGAATATATTAGTGTCGACCAGCACCCGAAAAATGTCCCCCAGTCCCTTTTTGTGGGAGCTGGACCGGGTGTAGTAAGTTCTGAGGAGCAGATTGCTTGTTTAAATTTCATGTTACTCTAGGATTTATGTCATTATTTTAAATTTCTGTGCTCAAATGATCAACTGGCAAACCTAATCTTAAAAAGAACAAAAAAAAAAAGCCTAATTGAAGCCTAATTAATGTTTCTGTTTTGTTCACATGGCTGAAGCTCCCCCCGTTCCTGTTGAGATGAGAATTAAATTCAGGATAAAAGCTTCTGCTCTGTGAAGTCCTGCAGCATGGGCACATGCTGACCAGTAGCTCCGTCAGCGCTTGGCAAGACTTGAAGAGTTTTTATTGCTTAAAATAATTTATTTAATGTTTAAATATTTTAAAATTTTAGGCTTGGGGAAGAGTGGCTGGAAAGCTGCATGGAAGAAAAGACCTGGGGGTGCTAAATATGAGCCAGCAGGGTGCCCAGGTGGCCAAGAGGGCCAGTGGCATCCTGGCTTGTCTCAGGAGTGGTGTGGCCAGCCGGGGCCGGGGC